GGATTCCCTCCTCCGTGAGGGAAAGTCGGTTGCGTTCCAAACTGAGGCTGCTGCTGCTGCTGAAAGCCCTGCTGCAAAGGAACCTGTTGAGGCACCTGTGGAAAAGGCACCTGAGGCACTTGACCTGCACTCACAAGAGGTCTGGGTCTACTCACAGGCCGGTGTGCTGTCGGACTGTTCCGAGCAGGGAGGGACCTTCCACGAGTCCGCGAGCCAGGTGCACTTCGAGGGGTCGAAGGAAAGCCAGAAGAAACTCCACTGGCACGACTAGCACTTCGCCCCGAACTCCGTCCTCTTGGGGAACGGTCGCGGCTAGGCTCGGCTCGTGGGTCCATGGCTCTGAGGAGCAACCTTGAGCTCCGCTACCACGTTGAAACCCAAACGCGCCTTGAGGCACACTTCTAGGTTTAGTAAAAGGAGGTGCAAGCCGACTGACTGACTACGTCACGCAAGGCTACAGCAGTGAAAGCTAACAACACTTTTTACACCTTTCGTCGCAACCAACTGTTCACCACGCGCTTGTCACGCAGTGCAAGTCTTGAGCCAAGTGAAACGGGGCGCAGACAGAGACTTCAGTACACTCACTTCCGCGGAAGTCCTAAGGACTCCTAACGGCTTCTCTGCACTGGTAACTCTGTTCTATGGCCGAGGTGCTCCCCGGACTTCGTCTAGAAGTCCGTTCTCACAGCAAACAAATTGAAAACACTCTGATGTTCATCATGCTTCAGGAAAGTTCAGGGAACACCATTCTTCGTGAAAACTCGTGAGGAAAAACTCCGGTTGGACACGCTTCTGGTAATGATCAGTTTCACCGCAAGGTGAGACAGGAAGCGTGAGCGCAGCGACCGACAGACAGACAACTTTTCCCTACTCCTACCGTTCACTACTACACCTAAGGTTCTCTAAAACTCACAAAGGAGAAAACAGAAAGTGTTCCTGACCTTGGCGAGACAGGGGCACCATTATAGGATTCAAAATCAACTCTATCAGTCGCCAGCTCGGCGGGGCACTGGCAACCTTGCTGCTTGCACGGGTCTCGCCCAATGTTCAGGCCTTGAGCTCCCGCGACTGTCCCCTTGCAGTATGCCATTCGCCTTGGCTCCTCTGCAGCAGTTGTCCTGCTCCTTGAAGCGCAAGCACACGTCCACTTCACAAGTGAGCATGGGCCATCCCCTTGCGGGTCGCTGTGGCGCTACGCCGCTTGTGGCATTGCTTTTGGAGTACGGAGCCGGCTTGGGAATTCGGTTGAGCGATTTGCAGCCTTTAGTGGCTAGTTCGTTCTTCCGCTTTGGCTTCTGAGATGGTTCCCCAGCTCCTCGCTGACTGTTATTGGTTTGCTTGAGAAAAGCTGCAGAGGATCCCAAGAAAGAAGAAGAAGTAAAGGCAAAGTAGCCCGGAGAGAAAGGCTGCAGAGGAAGAAGCAAAAGAAAAGTGCCCGGAGAGAAAGGCTGCAGAGGATCCCAGTAAGAAGAAGAAGAAATAAAGGAAAAGTAGCCCGGAGAGAAAGGCTGCAGAGGATCCCAAGAAGAAGAAGCCAAGGCAAAAGAGCCCGGAGAGAAAGGCTGCAGAGGATCCCAAGAAAAAGAAGAAGCAAAGGCAAAGTAGCCCGGAGACAAAGGCTGCAGAGGATCCCAAGAAGAAAAAGCAAAGGCAAAGTAGCCGGAGAGGAAAGCTGCAGAGGATCCCAAGAAGAAGAAGAAGCAAAGGCAAAGTCGTCTGGAGAGAAATGCGCAGAGGATCCCAAGAAGAAGAAGAAAAAAAAAGGGCAAAGTAGCCCGGAAGGGAGATAAGGTGCAGAGGATCCGACAAGAAGAAGAAGCAAAGGACAAAGTTGTCAGAAAGGCTTGCAGAGGAATCCCAAAAAGAAGAAGTCAAAGGCAAAGTAGCCGGGAGGAGAAAGGCTGAGAGGTCCCAAGAGGAGAAGAAGTAAAGGCAAAGTACCCGGACGGAGAGAAAGGTTGCGAGGGTTCCAGAAGAAGGAAGAAGACGAAGCAAAGGCAAACGAGTCCGGAGAGAGGCGAAAGGCTACAGAAGACCCCACCAAAGAAGAAGAAGCAAAGAAAAAGTATAGCGGAGAGAAAGCTGCAGAGGATCCCAGAAGAAGAAAGCAAAGGCAAAGTAGCCCGGAGGGAAGGTGCAGAGGATCCCAAGAAGAAGAAGAAGCAAAGGCAAAATAGCCCGGAGAGAAAGATTGCAGAGGATCCCAAGAAGAAGAAGCAAAGGCAAAGTAGCCCGGAGAGAAAGGCTGCAGAGGATCCCAAGAAGAAGAAGAAGAAGAAGCAAAGGCAAAACAACCCGGAGAGAAAGGCTGCAGAGGATCCCAGGAAGAAGAAGAAGAAGCAAAGGCAAAGTAGCCCGGAGAGAAAGGCTGTAGAGGATCCCAAGAAGAAGAAGCAAAGGTAAAGTAGCCCGGAGAGAAAGGCTGCAGAGGTCCCAAGAAAAAGAAGAAGCAAAGGCAAAGCGAGGAGGAACGGCTAAGAAGAAAAGGCAAAATAGCCCGGAGGAAAGGCTGCGAAGATCGCAACAAGAAGACGAAGCAAAAAGGAAAAAGTAGCACGCGAGAGAAAGGCTTGCAGAGGATCACAAGAAGAAGAAGCAAAGGCAAAGTAGCCCAGAGAGAAAGGCTGCACAGGATCCCCAAAAGAAGAAGCAAAGGCAAATTATTTGTAGCCCGGAGAGAAAGGTTGTAGAGGATCACAAGAAGAACAAAAAGCAAAGGCAAACTAGCCCGGAGAGAAAGGCTGCAGAGGATTCCAAGAAGAAGAAGAAGCAAAGGCAAAGTAGCCCGGAGAGAAAGGAGAGAAAGGCTGCAGAGGATCCCCAGAAGAAGAAGTAAAGGCAAAGTAACCCGGAGAGAAAGGCTGCAGAGGATCCCAGGAAGAAGAAGAATCAAAGGCAAAGTATTGGTAGCCCGGAGAGAAAGGCTGTGTTGGATCCCAAGAAGAAGAAACAAAGGCAGAGTAGCCCGGAGAGAAAGGCTGCAGAGGATCCCAGTGAGAAGAACAAGAAGAATAAAGGCAAAGTAGCCCGGAGAGAAAGGCTGCAGAGGCTCCTAAAAAGAAGAAGAAGAAGCAAAGGCAAAGTAGTGCGGAGAGAAAGGCTGCAGAGGATCCCAAGAAGAAGAAGAAGCAAAGGCAAAGCAGCCCGAGACAAAGGCTGCAGAGGATCCCAAGAAGAAGAAGCAAAGGCAAAGTAGCCCTGCAGGGGATCCGAAGAAGAAGAAGAAGCAAACGCAAAACAGCCCGGAGAAAAAGGCTATAGAGGATCCCAAGAAGAAGAAGAAGCAAAGGCAACCTAGCCTGGAGAGAAAGGCTGCAGAGGATCCCAAGCAGAAGAAGAAGAGGCAAAAACAAAGGAGTCCGGAGAGAAAGACTGCAGAGGATCACAAGAAGAAGAAGAAGCAAAGGCAAAGCAGCTCGGAGAGAAAGGTTGCAGAGGATTCCAAGAAGAAGAAGACGACGAAGCAAAGGCAAAAGAGTCCGAAGAGAGAAAGGCTGCAGAGGACCCCAAGAAGAAGAAGCAAAGGTAAAGTAGCACGGAGAGAAAGGCTGCAGAGGATCCCAAGAAGAAGAAGAAGCAAAGGCAAAGTAGCCCGGAGAGAAAGGCTGCAGAGGATCCCAAGAAGAAGAAGAAGCAAAGGCAAACTAGAAAGGTTGCAGAGGATCACAAGAAGAAGAAGAAGAAGCAAAGACAAAGTAGCCCGGAAAGAACGGCTGCAGAGGATTCCAAGAAGAAGAAGAAGCAAAGGCAAACTAGCCCGGAGAGAAAGGCTGCAGAGGATCCCAAGAAGAAGAAGAAGCAAAGGCAAAATAGAAAGGTCGCAGAGGATCCCAAGAAGAAGAAGAAGCAAAGGCAAAGTAGCCCGGAGAGAAAGGCTGCAGAAGATCCCAAGAAGAAGAAGCAAAGGCAAAGTAGCGAGGAGAGAAAGGCTGCAGAGGATCCCAAGAAGAAGAAGCAAAGGCAAAATAGCCCGGAGAGAAAGGCTGCAGAAGATCGCAAGCAGAAGACGAAGCAAAGGCAAAGTAGCCCGGAGAGAAAGGCTGCAGAGGATCCCAAGAAGAAGAAGAAGCAAAGGCAAAGTAGCCCGGAGAGAAAGGCTATAGAGGATCCCAAGAAGAAGAAGAAGCAAAGGCAAAGTAGCCCGGAGAGAAAGGCTGCAGAGGATCCCAAGAAGAAGAAGAAGAAGTAAAGGCAAAGTAGTCTGGAGAGAAAGGCTGCAGAGAATCCCAAGAAGAAGAAGAAGCAAAGGCAAAGTAGCCCGGAGAGAAAGGCTGTAGAGGATCCCAAGAAGAAGAAGCAAAGGCAAAGTAGCCCGGAGAGAAAGGCTGCAGAGGATCCCAAAAAGAAGAAGCAAAGGCAAAGTAGCCCGGAGAGAAAGGTTGCAGAAGATCCCAAGAAGAAGAAGAAGCAAAGGCAAAGTAGCCCAGAGAGAATGGCTGCAGAGGATCCCAAGACGAAGAAGAAGTAAAGGCAAACTAGCCCGGAGAGAAAGGCTGCAGAGGATCCTAAGAAGAAGAAGAAGCACAGGCAAAGTAGCCCGGAGAGAAAGGCGGCAGAGGATCCCAAGAAGAAGAAGAAGAAGCAAAGGCTATATAGCCCGGAGAGAAAGGTTGCAGAGGATCCCAAGAAGAAGAAGAAGTAAAGGCAAAGTGGCTCGGAGAGAAGGGCTGCAGAGGATCCCAAGAAGAAGCAGCAAAGGCAAAGTAGCCCGGAGAGAAAGACTGCAGAGGATCCCAAGAAGAAGAAGCAAAGGCAAAGAAGCCCGGAGAGAAAGGCTGCAGAGGATCCCAAGAAGAAGAAGAAGAAGTAAAGGCAAAAAAAGCCCGGAGAGAAACGCTGCAGAGGATCCCAAGAAGAAGAAGAAGCAAAGGCAAAAGAGCTCGCGGAGAAAGGCTGCAGAGGATCCCAAGAAGAAGAAGAAGCAAAGCCAAAAAAGTCCGGAGAGAGAGGCTGCAGAGGATCCCTAGAAGAAAAAGTAAAGGCAAAGTAGCCCTGCAGAGGATCCCAAGAAGAAGAAGAAGCAAAGGCAAAGTAGCCCGGAGAGAAAGGCTGCAGAGGATCCCAAGAAGAAGAAGAAGCAAAGGCAAAGTAGAAAGGTTGCAGAGGATCCCAAGAAGAAGAAGCAAAGACAAAGTAGCCCGGAAAGAACGGCTGCAGAAGATTCCAAGAAGAAGAAGAAGAAGCAAAGGCAAAGTAGCCCGGAGAGAAAGGCTGCAGAGGATCCCAAGAAGAAGAAGCAAAGGCAAAAAAGCCCGGAGAGAAAGGCTGCAGAGGATCCCAAGAAGAAGAAGAAGCAAAGGCAAAGTAGCCCGGAGAGAAAGGCTATAGAGGGTCCCAAGAAGAAGGAGCAAAGGCAAAGTCGCCCGGAAAGAAAAGCTGCAGAATATCCCAAGAAGAAGAAGAAGCAAAGGCAAAGTAGCCCGAAGAGAAAGGCTGCAGAGGATCCCAAGGAGAAGAAGAAGCAAAGGCAAAGTAGCCCGGAGAGAAAGGCTGCAGAGGATCCCAAGAAGAAGAAGGAAGCAAAGGCGAAAAAGTCCGGAGAGAAAGGTTGCAGAGGATCCCAAGAAGAAGAAGCAAAGGCAAAGCAGCCCGGAGAGAAAGGCTGCAGAGGATCCCAAGAAGAAGAAGAAGCAAAGGCAAAGTAGCCGGGAGAGAAAGGCGGCAGAGGATTGA